GGAGAGGGTACAGCAGGAAGGCAGGTGAGCATTGCAATAAATATCCCTGGAGATGAGCAGATGGCAGCGGAGAGCCGATGTGAAACGATGTCTTCTGGTACAGGGGAGAGCAGAGGAAACGCTGGTAGACTGGCTAGCAACAGCAGAGACATGAAGTTAAAAAGGATGGGGCGAGTGAGTGACGGTTACAATAGATGACACCGTCCTCCTCAGTCATCCAAGGCTGTAGGCTCCTTTGCAAGTCAGATTTATTTATCCTATGTTTAGGCTGCAGCCAAGTCCTGTCACTTCTTATCAAAGTGCTGCAGCACCAATATCTTCCTCTTTCTTTCTCTCCTGACAGCCAAAAGCTTGTTCATAATAATCACTGATCCTGGGAATTGCCCCACGCAATCTATCTGTAAAAAGTTTTCTCATTTATTTTGATTAAAATATCTCTCCATCTATTTATTCATGTTTTACTGGTTTTCATACTGTCAGGAAATCAGCTTTAAGTTCCTTATCTTTATGAGTTCACGACCTCATAGAGCTTGGCCTAAGTCCGTATCAGTGATGTGTTTTCCTTCTCCGTTATCTCCACTCGAGCAGTGATGCTAGTTGTACGTTTCTTCCATTTCCATCTACGTGCCTTCCTTTTGCTGTCCCTTTTCAAACTCACTGTTTGCCAAATTACTGTCTTCACCTCATTTACAAATTGCTCATTCCAGCTCTCCTAAAACCTCAATGTTATCATCTCTCATAAGAAGAATGAAGGATGAGACTAAATAATCCCAAAGAGGAAAAAATAGGAGCGATTGCAAGCTTTAGTGTACTCATACCTCCTTCCTTCTATCTTCTTTTGTCTCTTATGATCTTCAGTATTTGGGGTATGTCTAATTTAGATTGTAAGGGATGGCATCTGCACTTGTTTGAGGCTGCTAGCACAATTCTGAATACTCAAAAATTAATTCATGCTTTACATGTAGGTACTGGCTGGGTTTGACAGTTTGCAACATCTATTATTTTGTGATGAACTCAGACGACATAGATGCAAAATTCTCTCTGACATTGCCCAATTGTTTCCTTTTGTGTATTTAGTACTTCAGTCAATTTATTTTAAAATATCTTGAAGAAAGAATTTCACTGCCTTGTTTGGTAGATTGCACTATGTTAGATTTGAAAATCTTTTATATACTACGTGGACTCCAGAAATTGTGTACAGTCTTCAGGATAAGACTGCAACTAAATAGGGATAAATTTAAATGGAAATAATTTTAAAACTGTGTAATATAACTGATACCTGTAAGTATTCATTTTCAACTTCTATTTTGATATTCAGGAATTTGAGAACTCAAATTTACTTTTATGGTTGTTGTTTTTCCAGATCATGGTAAAATCAATAGTTTTTTTAAGATTCTCTTATTGCTTCTTTCTTTTTCCCCCCCTAAAGTCTTCCATCCTGTGGAATGTTCATATTGCCGGTGTGAGAGCATGATGGGTTTCCGGTACCGATGCCAGCAGTGCCACAACTACCAGCTCTGTCAAAACTGTTTTTGGCGTGGCCATGCAAATGGCCCTCATAGCAACCAGCATCAGATGAAGGAGCATTCCTCTTGGGTAACTCACATTTGTTTGTAATGCTGACCCCACCATCTCTAAACACTTTTCTTTCGAAAGCTAGAAACATTTTCATAATGGACTCAGAGCCCCATGGTAGATCTCTGAACGCTGTTCACATAAGAGGTTATAGATAGGTCCATCGTACTTTTTATTGTTCATTTTGAGTAACTCTATTCGTTTGTTGAATGTTGTCTTACTCCATGGTGTACAGGGTATAGAAGATGACACAGTCCCTTCTCTGGCAGAACTCATAATCGGATTTGCAGAGAATAAAGCATTTGCTCTCCTTCTGTTTCCTTTTACTTCATAGCCTTTCCTAACAGCCTAATAACTCATTGTAGTTCCAGTGGCTTCGTAGACAAGAAAGCCAAATCAGTGAGGGTGCATCCTATGCAAGGGAGGTATGTTTTCAAGACAGGTGTAATCCTTGGGGTGGTGGGGGGAGGAATATATTTATAGATATAATATATATATTCAGTTATATAGATATAGCAGATAAATTAGTTATTTATATATATATAAAAATAAGATAACTAATTTAAATGCCATCATCATGTGTGGAGCTGTATTGTAGATATTAGAGGCCCCAGACAGATGTTACACTTCAGAAATGATTAGTCTGTTAATTATATCTTGGGTAGTAACCCAGCCATACACTCAGGGAATTAATAGCACCACAGAAAGGGAAATCAGCCACAAAAATATTGCACAAAAATGTGTAATATTTTTGTGTTTGCGTTCCATCACACCTTAAACTGAATGCATAGCAGGGTTAGGATTACACCAGGGTCTCAGACTAGCTCAGCTATGGTCCTGGCCAAGGATCAGGTGATTGCAGCAGGATTGGGACCCTCAACCCAAGAATCTTATCTAAGATATACAGGCAATAAAGTTGAGATGGGTAACTAGACAATGCTCACTTCTCAAGGCATTACAGATCATCTGAGGACTGGAGATGCATACCATGTAGCAGTGGGAGGCCAACCTTTTTGGCAGGTGTGCCACAAATTAAGCCTTGCACTCTCCCCGCCTGCCAGTCTTCCCTGCCCTGTCTACTGCTCTGCTTTCTGCTCTTTGTCCTGGACTCCCTGCATAAACTGCTGCTTTGCTTTCTGCTTCCTTCCCTGTCTGTAGCTGCACTCCCTGTTCCCTCCCTGACTCATGTGCCACACACGCAGGCTGTCCTTGCCACTTCGGGTGCATGTACTACAGGCTAGCCACCCCTGCCTTCCAGGGAGAGACTTAAAAAGCTCCATCTATTTAGTTTGTTCAGAAGAAGGTTGAAAAGAGTCTTGACTGCAGTTTACAGTTTCCTACATGAAGAGGAGATTTCTAGTAGTAGATTGCTTTTTAATCCAAAAGACCAGGTATAATGAGGTCCAGTGTATGGAAGTGAAAGACAGACAATTTCAAACAGCAAATTAGATTATTTTAATGGCTAATTCTTGCCTTAAAATCTATGCATTTATCATAGTTTATTTGGTATCTTATTCTTGGTGGTTTCTATGGAAGAAATACTTTTTAAAGCATGATTTAAATAAAAAAGTGGACATGTTAAACTGCAAGATAGCTACTGATCAGGGATGATCTAGGCATAGCTTTGCCTATGTTCTTCTGTGGTTATTTCTCATGCTTCTGGACTTTGCTGGTTGTTGCATGGGGCTGGGGGAGAGGGGTTTTTTACTCTTCTGCTGCTACATCAATTTGGGACTAAACACGGAGGATCCTGGCTAGAGGGTCTTGCCCCTCCGCTCAGGGTCAGGCCAATCACCGTAGTTGGGGTCAGGAAGGAATTTTACCCCATGGTCAGATTGGTATGGACTGCAGCGGGGTTTTGCCTTCCTCTGCCTTGGAGCTCGCAAGTGTATATTAACAACCTTTGCAGCAGCAGAATGTGGGCCACCGTGGTCCCCCAGCTTTGCCTGTGACAGGTTCGGGTGTTATGTCTTGTATTGTGTCAGAATTGACTGTTGTGTTGCTTAGAGTTAGACCGCGGATTTGTATAGGATGGTTTGGATACGGCTGATCCTGCCCAGGTAGGGGGTTGAACTAGGTGACCTCTGGAGGTCCCCTCCAAGCCTGCTTCTCCATGACTCCAAGTAGTGTACATGTATAGGAAGCATAGAAAAAAGCGTAATAAGGATACAAGTGGATGAAAAGCACATGGAAATAAAGCAAGCAAAAGGAAGTTTGGCAGAGCAAATGGAAAGATGTGCATGGGGGAAATAATGATGGATGGGAGCCTTGGAGGAGAAGAGAGAAACCTGAAATGTACTGTGTGATGTTGACTCTAGTGAAAGAAGAGTAACATGTCACAATCCCCTTCCCCCCGCTTTCTAAACAGTAGCACGGTGGATAGATGGAGGAAGAACAAGATGAGAAGCAGGTTGCTCAGAGAGAAAAATGCAGCAGTAGTCGAAGTGCATTAACAAATAAGGATTTCAGCTGTGGGTGTGTAGAGGAAAGGGAGATTTTAGATGGGGTGCTAATAGAATAACAAACAATTAGCCACTGCCGTTTGTAGGAGAGGTACCCAGTATGATTCTGGAATTGCGTGCCCGTGTTAAGCAACCAAAAAAAAGGTTTGAAGAGGAGAAAGTGCTTTTTGTATTTGTTAGTTGTTTCAGGTTAGTAGTAGTCACCATCAAAGGGAATTGAAACCTGGAGGCTAGATGAGCTCATCCAAGGGTGCTAATCCAAAGGGAAAAAAGGAGGGCAAGGAGACAAGTGTACAAGGCAGGGAGATTCCAGCAGAGTCAGAACGCTTCGTCTAAGGCCAGCCGGGACTGGGCTGGTTTTCAGTGCTGGCTACGCTGAACTGATGTACGTTGCTGTGAGGGCCCTATCTTCTGGCCATCTTATTTCCAAAACTCTTCAAGGGTTTGTGTTTCGCTTTGGTTTTTGTGGGCAGAGAAACCAGAAAAGTCTGGGAGTACTGTCATAACAGCATGGCTATTTTTTCATAAACTGGGAACAAAAAAAAATAGAACACCCCAAAAGGAGACTTCTTCCACTAGTTCCTGTGAGCAGGACAGGGTAGGAAATAAAAAGGTTGAGTCTTGCCTGTGGTCCAGCACTATCTTACCTCCGATGGACCTGGATCAGGAAAGATCCACACAACTTCAGGCTGAGGCTCATAATCAAAACCTGTGCGTTCCTGGACCATTTAAAATGAAAACCACACTTTTTGTTGCTGCTGGGTTTTTTTCCTTTGTGTTTGATTTGATTGGGAGAAGTGATGTGGAGCTCAGGTGAGGTCCCAGGTGACTGGAAAAGGAAAAAAACACAGTGCCCATCTTTAAGAAGAGGAAGGAGATCGATCTGGGGAACTACAGGCCAGTCATCTTTTCCTCACTACCTGGAAAGATCATGGAGCAGGGCCTCAAGAAGTCCATAGTCTGCAGAAGAGAAGACGGGGGGGGGGGGGGAATTTGATAGTAGCCTTCACCTCCCTGCAGGGGGGCTGCAAAAAGGATGGAGCTGGGCTGGTCTCAGTGGGGGCAGATGACAGGACAAGAAGCAATTATTTCAAGTTGTAGCAAGGGAAATTTAGGTAAGACATTAGGAAAAACTCTCTCACTAGAGGGTTAGTAAAGCCCTGGAACAGGCTCCCCAGAGAGGTGGTGGGATTTCCATCACTGGAGGAGTTGAAGACCCGGCTAGACAAAGCCTTTGCTGGGATGATGTAGCTGGGGCTGGTCCTGCTTGGAGCAGGGGGATGGACTAGATGTGACCTCCTGAGCTCCCTTCAACCCTCATTTTCTGTGATTCTGTGGTTCATCAAGAGTAAGTCAAACCTGACCAACCTGATTTCCTTCTGTTGTAAGGTGACAGGCTTCGTGGGTAGGGGAGAGTGCAGTGGCTGTGATATACCTTGATTTTAGCAAGACTTCTAACACTGTCCCTCAAAGCATTCTCACTAAAAGGCTGGGGGGTGACCTTCTCAGCAGCACGTCAGCGAAAAGGGATCTTGGAGTCACTGTTGACTCCAAGATGAACATGAGCCGTCAATGTGATGAAGTGATCAGTAAAGCTAACTGCACCTTATCATGCATTAGCAGATGCAAGACGAACAAGTCCAGGGAAGTGATACTTCCCCTCTACGCAGCACTGGTCAGTCCGCAGCTGGAGTACTGCATCCAGTTCTGGGTGCTGCACTTCAAGAGGGGATGTGGTTAACCTGGAAAGGGTTCAGAGGAGGGCTACACATATGGTTGAGGGCCTGTGGGTAAGATACTATGAAGACAGATTGAGGGACCTGAATCTCTTCAGCCTCTGCAAGAAAAGTGATCTTGTGGCTGCCTACAAATTCATCGGGACAGCAAGGGCTAGGAGGTGCTCTGTTTACCAGGCCAGCCCTTGAAGTAACTAGGAGCAATGGCCACATGCTGCCAGAGAGCAGATTTAGGTTGGACATCAGGAAGAACTTCTTTACGGTATGGGTTACCAGAATCTGGAATGGGCTCCCAAGGGCGGTGGTGTTGTCCCCTACCCTGGGGGTCTCCAAGAGGAGACTGGACAAGCACCTGGCTGCGGTCGTCTGACCCAGCACTCGTTCCTGCCCAGGGCAGGGGGTCGGACTCGATGATCTGCTAAGGTCTCTGCGGACCCTAACATCTATGAATCTATGAAACGAGATTAGACAAAAGTGCTGTAAGATGGATACATAACTGGTTGGATCATCTTACTTGGCAGGTAGTGATTCGTAGATCAATAGATCGTTAGGGGCTGGAAGGGACCTTGCAAGATCATCAGGTCCAGCCCCCTGCACTAAGCAGGAAAGACAACTGGGGTCAGGTGACCCCAGCGAGGTGACCGTCCAGTCTCCTCTTGAAGATTTCCAGGGTAGGTGATTGCACCTCTGGAGGGAGCTTACTCCAGTCTGGACCCCCTGACTGTGAAGAAGTTTTTCCTAGTGTTAAGCTTGAAATGGTCTTCCAGGAGTTTACGGCCGTTACTCCTGGTTTTCCCCAAGGGTGCCCTGGTGAACAGTTGCT